AGAAACAGTTTTGGTCGGAGACTGCACGCATTAAAGACTAATATTAACTACAACAAGACTCACTCTTAATACCTGTTTCTTAGCAAATCATCTTTAGCTTGCAGAATTAAAATTTAAAGTTATTGCTAAATTTTGCAACATTACTGTAAGTAGTTCAAGAGAAGAAGTTTAACTTTTGTATTACACTATACTGTTACACCCCGCTAATGAATTTGTAACTTTTATTGATACTCCTTTCATAGAACAAGTTGCGTTTATGCCTACGCTGTTAAATTCTCAAATTTTGGTAGCCAAAATAATTGTCGAACGTTAGTTCACATTGTCTGCTAAAATGCTATAGAAAATTTGATAATAGAAAACTACGCACTAGGTCTAAAATTTTGTTCAACCTGAAGAAGGTGATACCAGCCAACAATGCAAATTACAAGTTTATTAATCTGTTTTCCAAAAAATTTTTGAGTTTTTGCAAGTGTTTTTTCTGTTAGTTTTTCTCTTTTTCTCACATGCGCAGTTTTTCGTACACTGAAGAAATTATGAATAGTTATCCTGTATCGCAGTTCACACTTTTGTCTTCATAAGACATACTTACCTTTATAATGCTTATTTCGTGGAATTTTCATCTTCTTAAAAAATTATTTTATTTAAATTTGATGAACTGATTTCGTGCTTATTTTTTGATCATCATTTATAATGTCATTGATCAATTTTTTTTTTTTTTTTTTGCGCAACCGGTACAGTGGAACTCTGTCAAAACTTTGAAATCTGCTCAAAAGTTGAAACTTGGAATTTTACTTGCAGTCAGTTTTCAGTTTTTCTAAGAAACTGACTGCTATTTAGTGGTGCATTTCGACTTCTGTTTCTTCATCACTACAAATCAGTGTTGTGAATAACACTCGTTTCTGGTTGACAAAAAAAAACACTGCGGAAATGCTGATAGAAAGCAAAGTAGCTATTGTTGGGCAAGGTTCTTGCAGAAGAATCTTTTGAGGCTCTGTATTTAGAACTGAGTTGCATTACTCTTTTTAAGAGTACTACGAATCAACGTCTCTCTTGATCAAACGTGAAAATTCTCAAAGCTTAAAGAACGTTTAATTGTTTCTTCTCCTCTTTATCGTCGAGAAGCAAGGACGACATGTTAAAAAAAGACTGTATCCTTGCCCGCAAGAGCCACTATCTTCTACTGTACAGCATTTAGAGATCAACTGCATTTTTATTCATTGTGGAAAAATTCGCATTAAATCATTCTTCTTTGTTAACTGTATTTATCTTTTCCCTCAAAATAACCGTTATCGTCTAATAACTCTAAACTTTCATCTTTAACAAAATTTACCCTGACTTGGCAGCAAACAAGAAGACTTCCAAGAAGCCTTTAAGAATACTAGATAAAAATTACTTTTAACGACTAAATCGGTTCACTCGGAGGAAGTTGAAAACTGTACATGTAACTAAATGCAACTTTTTTTAACAACCAAGATGCTTTTTTGTCATTACATCAAGTAACGAAAAACCTTTATTGCTGACAAAAAAAAAAACAACGTGACAAATACGAACCAAAAGATTAACAAAACTATCAATACCAACAATATTTAACAAAAAGAGAATCTTCTTTATTACTGTTGTTATTCATCATAGGCGTACAAAACTTATCTGTTTTGCTCACGATGGTCACACCTCAAAAAATTACAAAAACATATTGCTAAAGTAGGCTTTTCTTTAACGTCAGTCAAATTAATCTCAATCTGCTTTTTTCCAACAGTCTTTTAAAAAATAAAGATTTTTAGTTGTGAATAAATAGTTTAGCAAACTTTTTCAAACATCACCAGCACGGCGTCTGGATAACTCATACTTAGCTCTGGTTCCGGTTCACACTTCAACACTACAATCATTTATCCTGAAATCATAAACCTCACTGGGTGTTTTAAGCTTAAAATAAACAATTTTATAATAAAATAAGATTTAATTGAATAAACCTTAGTCTATATATAGAGTTATTGTTTATGCTGTGCAAT